CCCCAGTACTGGGGACGAAAAAAAGGCACAGCTTTTAACTCCAAACAGAACTATACCCAAAGTACCTGCTGACTACCTACCTTATTACTACTACAGCCAATTTAAGTCATATGTTTTCACTTGCAGCCAAAAGCCCTACATATATATAGTTTATATAGTACTGTTATAGTCTAAGCCTAGATGTCCCTCACCACCACACACACGTGCACGCGCGCGCACGTGTGCACACACACACACACACACAAATGTCCTCCATGTAGTCAGAGGATATTTTCAGAGGTGGTTGATTCTAGTGTGTGTGATGCTGGGATATGGCTATGTGATTAGTAAAATGAGTCCACCAATTGGTTTGGCATACTTATGGCTAGGATTAAGGATGTGAATGCAGGATATCCCTAGGGCAAGTATCCTGCAAACAATATAAAGGGAGGGGACGGGGAGATGGCTCAGTAGAATAAGTGCTTGCCTGGCAAGCACACAAGCACAAGGACCTGAGTTCAATTCCCAGTTCTGGGGGGAACAAAAAAATGGGATAGAAAGAGTCTTGTCTCTCTCTCCCTTGCTTGCTTCTGCTATCTTGTGCTGTTATCAACTGTTTCTCCTCTGGAATGCAATTCTGCCAAGCCACCTTGCCTTGGACCTAGCCAGTTATAGACGGAAACCTCTACAAATTGTGAGCCAAGTAAATCTTTTCCTTTCAACTTTGGGTGTCACATATTTTGTCCCAGCAATGAAAAAAGTCAACTAGGACAAGTATATTTGTCAATATCATTAAAGAGGACAAAAGGAAAAATTACAAGTTATCACTGAGAGCTTATCAAAGAAATAAGATATAAGCAAGTTTCCCTGCAATCGTTTGTTGGATATTACTACATACACCTCCTTCTCATATAATGTGATATTTTTAACTAAAATTGAGTCTGCCGCTACCACAGGCCACCAGCAAGCAGCCTGGATTAGTGGGACACTGTATTCCAAGGGACCCAACAAAACCAGCAATTGGTGAATGAGGTGAGTGCTACACTTCAGCACACAGACACAAGGGACAGAAGAGGAAGGGAGGTGCTACCGTTTTACTCCAAAGGGAACGGGGAACAGGACAGGCCCAGGTCACTTCACTGCCAAAGCCATACAGTAAAATGAGGGAAAAATCACTCAGTCACAGGAGACTGCTAGCAGATGGGAAGTAGGCTGGCAGGAGAAAATCTGTAGGCAGGTAGAAACTGGGGCCACCCTGACTTCATGCAGATGGTTACCAAAACCCACTCTTATCCCTATATACAAACAACTAGAAAGACCCTTCCCATCTGCAACCAGCAGAACAACCCTGCCACAGAGGTACAAACATATTAACCCCCTTGTCCTACTGCGGGACAAGCCCCAACTCTATGATAAGTGGATAAGAGGAGCTAATGATGTGGAATAGAGGAAGCTGTACAAGGTCCAGAAGGAGACAACTGTATACTGGTCTAGTAGCACCTCTGGGCTGTCCCTACTCAAGAACATGTCAACGACTGGAATAGCACCTTACAAACATAGAAAAAGAAAAGTGGATACCCAGAACACTGTGATCTGAAGACCAGACTAAATCCTCACAACCAGAGGACAAAATCAGCCCCCTCGGGCCGGGGAGATGGCTCAGTGGAATAAGCGCTTCCCTGACAAGTGCAGGGGCCTGAGTTCAATCCCCCGTTCCGCAAAAAAAAAAAAGATCAGTCCCTTCACCCAGCACATGTTCTATTGTAAACTTACAGAAGCTACGCAGCACATCTCTGGGATCCAACTTCCACACCACCACAGAACTGTGGACATCAGAGGAATTTTATTATCTTTCTTTTTCTTTGATTGCTTTTCCTTTCTTAGGCTGACTGGGACAGGGTTTTGTTCATTTGTGTTTTTTTGTTTTGTCTTATTGTGTTTGTCTGTTCTTGGTTTCTTTTCTCTTTTTTCTTTTGACTCAATTTCTTACCTATATTTTCTTTTGTTCTGTTCCTCTTTCACTCACTATCTCTCTTGATTTCATGATACTTTCATATAAATGAACACTGTCTCTTTTCTGATTTGCTTCAATATTCTTTTGCTTTCTCTTTCATTCTTTCTTTCTTCTTTTCTTTGCACTATTCTCAGCCTCCCAAAACCTCAATGATCATCCTTAAGCCTTTCAGTCTTGCTTCTACTGCACTTCTCATTCATCTCTGTTTTGCCCCCTATCCCTCTTAAACAGGGTGAAAACAATTTACCAAGCGGAAACTCACTGCATACAAACTTCTAGAATATGTCAGATTTGTTATATAACTGTACCACTTACTCCTAAGGTTAATGATATCAAATTAACAATTACCATAGTTTGTCAGTTCCCGTGCTGTGCATGATGATACTGCTATTGTTAACCGTACTACCTTAGCCAGGATGTCACACACACTATCATCAGTTTTTCTCCCTCTTATGACACTATCTGGGGTAATAACCATCACCATAATCCAGTACCAAAGGATGGGGTGCTGAGCCAAATAAATATTAACTTCTCATCCTTAACAAACTGGGAGGGTAGGCTCTTGGGACAGACCAAGAATCACCTACATCCACAAGAAAGCTCTGAGGAATAAACACTTGCTAAGGAAGTGTTGATATTAGGGATAAAGCTATCTACCATAGGAGATCTACAAGCACCAACACCAAAAATTACACGCAGAAAATTAAAAGAGGCAGAAACAAAATGCAACCCCAGACCTCCAGGCCACTCAGGACAAGTCCAGAGCACAATGACAGAGCAAATCAGAAGCCACACACTACACTTTTCTGAAATATATCAGCAGTGAAAAAGCAGATGGCTATGGCTATAGAAAACATAATCTCTCAAGTGAAAAAAGAAATGATTAAAATGAAAGACATGCCTAACAAAGGAAAGAAACGGAAGCCATGAAACATCCAAATAGATACCTAGGAGGCTAAAAGTTCAATTGAAAATATATGCAATAAACTAAATGAAGGCAAAGATAGACTATCAGATCAAGATCACAAGTTTGCAGTTAGTGATCACAAAAAGAATAGTCTATTTTTTTTTTTTCTTTTTTTGTGCTGGGGACCAAACTCAGGAAGGAATACTATCTTAAAAACAACAAAGGGGGCCGGGGAGATGGCTCAGTGGAATAAGCGCTTCCCTGCCAAGCTCAAGGGCCTGAGTTCAATCCCCGGTTCCGCAAAAA